TTAGTATTTGAAATTTTTACATACGCATTTTATTGCAAAGTTGTCGATAATGAAATTAGTTTTAGATTCTGAGCGGAGCGATGAATGTATTGATTTTACCATGATGTGTGTTTTTTTTTTTTGTGTCTGTCATCACGTTTTGGAGCAGTGAAAAAGCTTCGATTTTTGACACCAGTACCTCGTTTGATCAGAAAGTAAATCTAGTTGGTACTTTGAGGGGTCAAAAGTGAAAAATTCTTAATAATTCTCTAAATAATCGAGAAAAACAAACTAAAAATTAAGGGAAAAACGGGAAATTTTACGCACACTCATTTTTCGACAAAATCGATTTTGATTTTTGATGTAATTTTAAAACAAATGACAATAGATACATGAACCATTACAACACCTAATGTTTATATAAGTATATTCTATCTACCATGCAATTTTCAAAAATTTTCGACTTAAGTTGAACTATTCATAGGCATTTGAAATTTTCGATCATTATTAGTTTTTTTTAAATTAATATTGATAAAAATTTATCAATAAAGCTTGAAAATTTAATACAAGGCTCTTAACATATTGTTACAATAGCAGTTGAAAAATAAAAGAAATTCATAGTCACAATTCTTTTTTATAAGCATTCAAAGTCTGAATTTTGACAAAATACGTAAAAATCACAAAAATTCACAAATTATTTTAAGCTAGAAATTCATAAAACGTTTTCTTTTTAAATTTAAGATTTAAAAATTTAATACAAGATTCCTTACAAGTTTTTCAATCTTTATCACAAATAAAAAGTTCACCGGAAATTCAAATTACATTTTTATGAGCATTTGAAATTTAAATTATTACAACATTGGATTTTCACTGTTAGCGATTTCCTTATTTTGGTGTAACTCTAAAACAAATGACCGCAGATACTTGAAATTTTCACTGAATGTTTATATAGGCATTTTATATATTTTATAAAATTTTCAAAATATTAAGATTTGTTTTGAGCTGTTTACTGACATTTTAATTTTTCAACTTTTTTAGTTTTTTTTTCTTTAAATATCGATAAAAAATTATTTGTTCGGTAGAAAAGCTTGAAAATTTAGTACAAGGCTTCTAACACATTTTAACAATAACAGTTAAAAAATATTTAAAATACGTATGCGCGATTTTTTTTTATAAGCATTTAAAGTTCAAATTTTGACTAAATACGTAAAAATTACGGCAATGTTCAAATTATCTTAGATAGAAATTCATAAAAGTTTTTCTTTTTAATTCTAAGACTTTAAAATTTAATACAAGGCTCCTAACATATTTTTACAATAGTAGTTGAAAAATAAAAGAAATACAAAGTCACAATTTTTTTTTTATAAGCGTTCAAAGTTTGATTTGTAGACAACATACGTAAAAATCATGAAAATTCATAAATTATTTTATGCTAGAAATTCATTAAAAATTTTCCTTTTATATCTTAGAATTTAAAATTTTATAAAAGGCTCCTAATATATTTTTACAATAGCATGTGAAAAATAAAAGAAATATATTAGCACAATTTTTTTTTACAAGCATTCAAAGTTTGAATTTTGACAACATGACGTGTAAAAATCACGGAAATCACGAAAATTCGTAAATTATTTTAAACTAGAAATTCTACGATTTAAAAAGAAAATTTTTTAATAATTTATAATATATTCTAGACAGATAAACCGTCTTCGCTCAGAATCGAAATGATATAATATCATTGGATTCAAATTTAATTCCATCCATTACAGTAACCCACTTGTAACCTACTGTACAGCAGAGCGACATCCATGACTTACCCGCCTTTTTTTAAATTTTTATGTAAGTAGATATTATTACTGCTGACATACTGCAAATACTAAATAGCAGATATACCGATTAACCACCATATTATTCGTCTAAAATAATATATAAACAATATTTTTCTTTATTTTTCTAAAAATATTTTTGTTCTTCCGTTATTATGCATTTATTGAAACTCATCAATACCTATAATAACTATATTTTCCTAAAACATATACGAACGTTCTGTCAACATAGGTCATGTCAAAGGAGTACATATTACGTCGAATGACGATTGCATTTGAAAACGAATTACAACTACAAATGTTCTAATCAAAGTTTTTGTCATTCCGAACGAACTAAAAACCATTTAGTCCGGGGACACTTTTTTTAAACATACTCTAACAAAATACGAATGACTATTAAATTGACCTGCCAGGCAGGATTGCCTGAGGGGTGGACGACCCTTCGTTACAACAACCAACCAACCACCCCTTATAAAAGGCCACCTGTTCTCTGCAAGTGCGATTCATTATGTCCCTTCGTATACCCTCTTGTGTGACACTCGTTTATCGAAGTGTTACGAACCTATGGAAGAAGTGGCAGAATAAAAAAATAAAAATAAACTCAGTTACATTGAAATGTGATTATTTGACCGTGTCTATATCCTATTGACAATTCAAAATATACAGCTTATTATTATATGACTGTATATTTTTCGAGTTATTTGTAGATGGCATACTGGTTAAAAAAAAAATATTTTATGACCTACTTTGTTTTTACAAACAGAATACAAAAGAATATTAAATGGTTTATATTCAATGGTTACCAAAAATGAATAAACAATGAATACACAAAATGTGTTTGGAAATAATTTTTTATTAAATCAATCAATTTACAATGTGATTTTATTTAACATTTAAATTGTTTTATTATATACTTAAATATAATACTATAATAGGAGGTACATTTGCTATTAATATGTATTAGGTAAGTACTTACAGTTGTGAAGCTCAAATTTTAAAAACCATGTTTAACTATTGTGCAGGAGTTTATCAACCACAGACCGCAGTAGTTCATTAAGTAGGCAGTAGGTACAAAACAAAGAATTTTTTCATAATAATAATAAAAAAAAAAATAGCCGATAGGGTATTAACATTTAACGTTATTTATTTTCATTATTCACGTTATCTATAGTGTATCTTGTGTCCTCGTTATAGATTAAGTCAATATAATGGATGTGTTAATTTTTATAGTATATAATAATAATAAACTATATTAAGGACGTATAGCCCGTATAGGTACGAAAAACGATTCTGAGAGGAGATCGTTTGTCAGCCAATATTTCAAAAGATATTTTATATTTTACAAATTTTTATTTTAGTTACATAGTAGGTAAGTAAATGTAAATTGCAACAATATTCTGCAAATACCATGGTTAATAATAATATTTGTAATGATGAATATTTCAACTTTCAAGTCCCTTCAAATAATATTTTTGAATTACAACAGAATAACTAAAATTGTCATTGTGTGTTTGATATTTTTCAGTCCCATAAGTACATCTGACCAAAAGCGTTGTAATGTTGCATAATATTTTAAATCCTTTATATATATTTATATAAAAAAATAAAAATATTTTCAATAATCAAAATTTGAAAATGTTAGGTGTCATGTCTATATAAATTACTAATACATAAAATAAATTTTACTATCCCAAAGGCCTTGATGGACATAAGGGTATCATTAATATAAATAATATATAAATATATATATATATATATTTGGTAAAAATTAAGTCTCTCTAGATTCAACATTCCATCAGAAACCACCTTCGAAATGGAAGATTGAAGAATTTTTATTGATCCAAAAGATAATAACAGGTACAAAAGGTTTTAAAAAAAAAAACGCAAATCATTTTAAGTTATATTTTGAATCTAAAAAAAAAATAGTACGTATACTTATATAAACATTAAAACATTACATCAAAGTGTTTAATAATTGTTGTTATTGGACTAAAATCAATTAAACATAATACATTGACAATGAGATATGAATATAATTTACACAATATATTTTAAGCACAACAATTAATATTGTAATATACATACCTACAACGGTTATAGTATTTTTTATTTTTTATGAAACAATTGTCCACTATTGATTTAGACTAGAGGGTATATTATTGTATAATATACTATATTGTATAATATAAGTAATATTTAGTAATATTGGTCATGTATGAATTATTTTTCTCTTTGACAAAATATCTTTTGGCTCTGACTATACAATAATATTTAAGAAAATAATACAAGAATACTATTCGTATTTACTATTTAGGCAGATAAATCATAACTACGCGTCACAGTAATTTATATAAATAATATGTTATATTACAGTATCGGAAACGAACCGTTGTCTGTCAGAACATTGTATGATATAATTAGATCAATGCGATTATAACATGAGATAGATCTCGAGAGACCAGATAACACACTCAGTCCTGGATTTCCTGAGCGACACAACTTGTTCGTCCGGCGTAATAAAGTTATTATCGCATTGTTTCCTCCGCGAACAGGGAACCATTAATCAGCGAAAACGGCACCGTCTTGCTGTGCAATCTGCATTTCAGCCTCATTAACTTTCATTATATTATACACGCGGAGATATGGCGCGCACAACTGTAAGACAAACGGCGCACTGGCGTATCCCGGAGTCCCTAGACAATGGTTTAACCCTTAAAACGTCCCTTGGAACACATACCGCACATGTATAATATTATATTAAATACTTCAGTGTTTCAGAGTAATATTCTATTATCTCTTCCATCTGGTGTTTGAATATGCCCGACCAGTCCTTCTCTCGACTCATTTACCTCTTTCGGTCGTTAACTCGCCCTTAACAAAGTTCTTTTGTTGCATTGCGATGCCACCCGATTTGCGAACATCGTTCACTTGCACAAAAAACACGAACTCGAAACATTTTTAAACATTTTTTATTCTTTTGCGATAATGCGATAATGCGACTCATCAATTATAATTAGGTATGTAGATATTTAGTATTATATTATATGAATATATAAAAATACTTGATTTAGTTGCATTCATTACATTTGATAAAAATTGAAAACCCATAATTAAATATTATAATATAATACTTTTGAATGATTTAAAATATATATTTATGTGGGTAACATTACAGTGGTTTAATCGAGGGAGGACGCAGGGAGACTCAGGCTACTCTTCGTTTTTTATCATATTATATAGAGTAACCCCCTTTATTATATTCATTAAGAAATAGGGTTACTATTAGATTAATTTGCTTTGGAACGCTAATAATTATTCAACTTCATTTAAAATCTACCGTTATTTATTTTCCAATTCAACCTCTGATAACATGCAAATATGAATAATAGTTCAGATATTTTTTTTTCATTCTGTTTTAGTGTGCTGGGTGCAGTAGAATTGCGATATGTGGAAACGGAGTTTGTGATGTTTCGCCATGTCGCGTAGGACCACGAACCCAAAAACAAGTTGCGACAGGAGTAAAAGGCACATTATGCCTTGAACGGCCATTTCAACGGGCATGGTATTCAGGAATAAKAATACCAACTGTAGAGGTAATTGGAGGATCAACGAAAACATCCAAAATGCGGCCAAATCTGGAATCTATTATATAATGTCACAAAATAAACATGTTTGAAATTTGACGTATTATCAGAGGAATATTTCAGGAGGAATTATGGATGTTATTACCTTGTGGGAGGGAGAGCTTCTACTCAAATACAAAATGAATTCACTTACTTTTTCTCTGAGATTTCCTTGAACACCCAAATACAATCGAGCGCATTCCAGCATCAATATCAAAAATAGCGACACGGAGATTATAGTTTGAGTCAACATATTTAAACAATTCATCTAAAAATCAATTAAAAATATGTATATTATATTTATATCAACAATCGTAGTTTATTACCACGAGTTCACGAATATAACTTACTTTAAACGAGATCAGTGATAAAAACGTATAAAGCCAAAATGGAAAGTATACAACGTTAAAATACAGTGACATTTGAAGTGGAAGACTAGATACGATTTCGTTACCTACAATGTAATATGCGTTTTAATATATTTTATATTTTTTAGCCATTAGCAAATAGAGAATTGTAATATTATATTATATATATTGGTGCATATATATTTTAATATACATATTACTACAAAATATACTTTATACATATAGCACAGACTTATAAATTATAATATAATAGGCAATTATAGGTATAATCATGTGTACTATATAATAAAATATATGTCTTTATAATAATTATATTTTACTATTTTAATACATTGATAATTTTAGAAATAAATTCTTAATACTCATATAAATAAACAAAAATTAAATTCATTTACAAAACCAAACACATACCAAAAGTTGTGCCGACTTTTTCTTCGGGAGGTAGAGATGGAAATATACGATCAGTAATGTTCATCATTGTTTGCCGCCAACTGTCGCTCATTATTAATTATAATTTGTAATACAATTTGTAACACAGCTAAAATATATATACATATATTATATAGGTAAAACATATTATTCTAACATAAAAATTTCAGATAACCTATAATTTAAATTTTTAATTAAATCGTTTACAAATTATAATAAATTATATCATGGTAAATTATCGATAGTAACGTAGGTAAGTAGACAGGTAGGTTTATATACCTGAATATAGAATCGGCACTTTGTCAATTTATACGTTTATACTCTATATCAGCGGTTCCCAAACTTTTAGGATCACGGAACCCTTAGGAAATAGTTTGTGTTTTGCGAAACCCTAATATCTTTACATCCAACTCAACTCCATTTTTTCTAAAAAAAACGGAACCCTTGAGATAGTCCCGCGGAACACACTTTGGGAAACGCTGCTCTATATATACAGGGTGATTTTTTAAGCATGCTCGYCCCATTTKTATGCTTAAATTATGCATATATATTCAAATTCTGATTTTTGGAATATTTAAGTGTAGTTAAAGGCGATATTTTTGAGTACTTAGATTTTTCACAACTTTTAAGGAGTATCCTGTAGCGATCCCAACTTTGGTTTTTCAAATGACAACCTATATGTTTTAAAGCAAAATGTGATTCAGATAATTTTTCTGAAAATTTTGACATATTGCAATCAAAATWCGAACGAAAACTTCCAGAGTTATTCTACTTGAAATACTAAGGAATAAGGATAAAAGTCTAATACTTAAATGCCTACGTTGTAAATGGATACGATAATTATAATTCGGTATACAATATAAAAATAAAATATTTGTTAATAATCACTAATTATTACTAAATGGCCAAATATTGCATCTGAAAATGTTCAAAACAAAAGAAAATATGAATAAAATAATATCCTTTTTATTTTATCCATATTACCTATACCTTATAGGCAACGTTAATATTTGTATAGCATAGGTATACCTACTTATAATAAAATACCAAACAATAGTGTACAATAGCACTAATGCGAAATATGTACGTGTATCCATTTACAACGTAGGCATTTAAGTATTAGACTTTTATCCTTATTCCTTAGTAGTTCAGTAGAATAACTCTGGAAGTTTTCGTTCGAATTTTGATTGCAATATGTCAAAATTTTCAGAAAAATTATCTGAATCACATTTTGCTTTAAACATATAGGTTGTCATTTGAAAAACCAAAGTTGGTATCGCTACAGGATACTCCTTAAAAGTTGTGAAAAATCTAAGTACTAAAAAATATCGTCTTTAACTACACTTAAAAATTCAAAAATCAGATTTTGAATATATGCATAATTTAAGCATACAAATGGGGCGAGCATGCTTAAAATATCACCCTGTATACTGTATATACCAATTTATACCTACTTTTTAAGTTAGAGTACCTGGTACCTCATTAGTCATTCTTCAGTTTGAATGCTCTACATCTACAATATATGCATGATTTATCCATTTTTCCAATAACCAAACTTGGATGAATATTACTGTAATTATAATTATACCAAATTTCGTCGCAATCGGTCCACCAATTGGAATTGAAATGTTTTTATGCATAAACCCAGAAAATTTTTTTTATAGATATAGTAGTTATCTCGCTAGATAAATAGATACCTAGATATAGTTTGAGTCATAAAAAAGGTAGAATTTTTAACGGGCTACGAAGTGCACGGGCTAGTACAAGTATATATAAATCTGTTTGTCACACATTCCTAATCGGCTGGACCGATCGCGACAAAATTTGGTACAGAGATAATATATCAGACCTATGGACAGAAGATAGGCCAAGTTAAAAAGTGACATGTCTGAACATCATTAAATTTAATATTTGAACTGTCTCGATAAAATAAATAAAATTACATAATGTTAAACTAAATTGAATATCGTTGTAAAATTATTACTTAATATATTTAAATATATAAAAGCGTAGGTACAACTACTGATCGATCTTTTTTTTAGAGACATAATTTAAGAGGTAGAATTTTTTACGAACTATGAAGTGCACAGTTAACAATAATTCAGGAATATAATATTATTAAATAAACTGATATAAATTAAGTATTCTAATATAGAATTATCGAATTATAATGAAAGATACAATTATATATTTTTTACAATGAAGCATGAATTAATCGTACAGTCTCGACGAGACAATGATATACAATGAGATGAATTATAGACCAATATATATTTCAAACAATTTATAATATCCCATGACAACCAAATCTTAGCAACTTTTATTTATCCTATTCTCTATATATATATATATATATATATATATACTATATAGCTGAATTACCCGTCGTTGCCGTGTTTATTAATAATTGTTGTTATCTGGTAAGTTTAAATATATTGTCTAGTAAATTAAAATTAAATAAGATTGTTTAAAAAAATATGTCATACCTATTATATTAATTGTTTATTAAGCTGATTTTTAACAAAAATGTCCATCGTAAATCTCAAACTGTCTGTTTGAGCACCTCCATAATTTTTTAACTTTTCCTATCTTCTGCCCATAAATTATCTATGTATCAAATTTCGTTGCATTCAGACCAGCCGTTTATGAATAAACGTTTAAAATTTCGTTTATTTATAAATCCATTTATATACATAGAATATAGAATAGGAGAAGATATATAATCAATAATTATTAATTAAATAAATTGGGGCGCGTTTAAAAATCAATAGTTTAAATCGATACAAAAATTATATTTATAATTTTATSTATAATAAAAGGAATAAAACGTAATATTTACCGTGAATCAATAAAAATTGATGATAACAGCTACAGAAAAGATTTTAATTGCACACTAACCCTTAAAAGTTAAAACTACCTACAAGCAAGAAATTGTGGTGAAAAAAAAACTGACGTTCCTAGACTGTTTTGTTTTCCTGTGCGTTTCCATGACACCGGTGAACATTGACCACAAATACCAAAAAAGAGAATACTTATGTACCTAGGTATAATATAATGTTTGCGCAATTGTAAATTCAAAATATATTGTGTTTCCGAAACTTGTTACCATTTACCGTCGTCAACGTTACTTTCGGTTGATCGAACTAACTAATCTATTCACAAGACCACAACGTACCGGTTGCGGTTGGCGGTTGTGAATAGTCATAATGATAACAATAATAATTAATAACATTGATTATAAATATAGTATTCATAATCAATGTTAATAATAATAATAGTTATAAGGTAATAAATTCGTGCTACGTACAGACTTTGTGAATTCACTGTCAATTATTAATCAAAATATTATATAAATTTAAAAAAGTAAAAGTGTGCCAAATTATTTCAAGTATTATGTACTTATTGTATTTGTTATTATTTTATTTTCATGCTGCATAAAGACTTCATAAATTGTTTTTTGTATATTTCGGGTTTTTTTTTATAGTTTTTTTTAGCACAATCGTCCAATTACAAAGATCGAAAAACAATCCAGAAACTTGGATTAACCGATCCAACCAATTTATTGAATTAACTGTTCCGTACCTATTCACTTAAATTATTTGTCCTATATAAATTATTAATAGTTTCATGTCTTGTGTCTAGACACTAGACGTGTCTGACATAACAAATTTAAGAGAGTATCTAAGTATACAATTCTTATTTCTTACAACTATTTGTTGAATCGAATAAACCTGCAGGCTRCCTTGTGCGGGAATCGAACACAAGCCTCTTGATTGTCAAGCAAAATTTTATTTTTTTGTTTTTTTTTTTTTTAGGTACTAGTGTAACTACCACAATTTAAGATAGTACTATTTTATTATATTTTTATGTGCCCAAATGAGCTACTCGATAGCACTGGCTGAAGATGTTATTTCCCCTTAATTAACGAAATGTGGGATATTATTATCAAAGCAACGGCTATAGATAGTAATTGTAACACGAACTACGATATTTTATAGTTTGATAGTTGTAATATCACAGAATGAACCTTGGAAGATCTTCTAAGGTCATGCCGTCATCGATCAATCTGTTATCAGATCATGAATACCCTCCACGTACAATTATATCAGAGTCTTTTAAAGTTATATTATAGAATGTAGGTATAAGTAAAGTTTATGACTAATATGCAATACCAACCTAATAACTTACTGTAATATTATGATCTACCTGACTACCTCTGACTTCTGAGGTATCGAGGTGAGCACATGTTATCAGTGTTATCAGTTATCACAGAAGAATGTTAAGAATGTTATCGGCGCTCACTTACGTGTTATCAGTTTATCACCACAATCATTATCGTGGACTGTTGTGACTCGTGATTCGTAAAAACCGAACATAACGAATTAACGACCATTACGTACCTATTTACTGTTAAATATTCACCAATTCACCTACGTTTCGACCATATAGACATATTATAGTGTTAGTAGTAGGTATAGTTCAATTTAAATAAAATATTTTCGGTTACGACAATATTTGATATTTCCCGTTAGTCTCGAATTCGACCAAAGCCAATACGAAGACATTTCTCCTGCACGCCGACTGTCATATAATTATATAAACGTTATCTTATCATCGTTTTTTTCGCCATTCATCGTAGTTTTTTTTAAATTTTTTTTTTTAATTTGCACCTAATAATTATTTATATTTGTCGTTGAATACTTAAACCGCTTTCAGTAACTTAATTTTACTGCCGTCACTCAAATCCGTCCGACTGATAATAATATTGTACCTTTGAAAATGATTCGTTCGGCAGTATTGGTGGCGTTGGTAGTGACAGCTGCGGTGATTGCGAAAAAATCACGCGATGGTGAGAAGCCGTCTTGGGCCAAAAAAGATATTAGCTCTTATACCGAAGCCGACATGGAGCGATTGCTTGACCAGTGGGAGGTAGGCTTTATTACAATTATAGCATTTAAATATAACCTTGAAAAATACATTTTAATACCTACTTAGTAGTACAAATCATGTAACAATTTACTCCGAAATATATATACATGTATTAGTTTTCTAAATAATTATTAATTGAATTATATGTTCTAAACCTAGGAAGACGAAGAGCCTTTAGAACCTGATGAGCTACCTGAACACTTGAGACCTCCCATTAACATTGATCCAACTTTGGTAACTTTAAAATTACTTTTTTACTATACTTCCTATGCTATTTTTGCTTGCCAATCGTCAAAAATGAAACACTTAATACTGTATTACTAATTACTATTCTACTAATCAATAATAATAATTTATTTCATCATAAAATAATATTTCACAATATAAAAATGCTTTTAATAAAAATACTTAATACCTACAGCATAGTTTGTAATTTGTATAGTATTTGACAATGTTAACCTTGTCGTCTCTTTACATGACTATTATTAGTATTATTTATTAATTAAAGGAATTACAAAATTAGAAATGACTAAGTTTTATCAATATTAAGAATTATTAGTTATTAGTGTGTTACGTCCCGACTGAACGTCAATTCATACATCAACGTAGAAATGAAAATACAATTATAAGTGTAGAAATATTTATTTTACGTTTAAACTTGATATAAAAATACTATGTAGTAAGCTATAAGGTGTTGGTGAGCAGTGTTACGACCGGCCTCTGAACGTCTTGAATATCCCTAACCGTCTAGCTCACATTTAAGAACTGTCTGACTCACATTTTAAAAACCGTCTGACGAGCTCGTGTCCCCTTCTCTTATATATGATTTGGTCTTTAGGAGTGGTGGTGACTTTCCTGTTATATGCCAAAATTCGGTCTTGTGATTCAACTTAATATGCTAACTTTTTTTTTTCCTTTTAAACCGACAGCAGAAGGGATCTGTGTGAACCTTACTACTCCTCTGCTGCCATCATTTATTAATGTTTAATAAAAACGCTAATACATACACATACTTAACACATAACTAATTATGGTTGCTTCACCTTACACTTAATATGCTAACTATTTTGAATCCTTTCACATGGGTCATTTCTAAGAAGAGACGTGTGAAAACACTTATAATTTTATACCTTATTCACCACGTTCCTATTTTTGACCTCCGCATGCTTTTGATAATGGCTTATTAGTTTTAGTCATAGTTAATACTTATTTTATATCACAATTGCGTGACATCTCGTACATATTTTATAGGTACGTAACAAGTGTTATTACCTATCTACAAAATAATAAAATAATAGTACTTTCTTTGTTTATAAATTAATTGACCAACTTTTCTATAATATGATATTTTAAATTACAATATATAAAGTTAAGTAAGTTTGGTAGAATTTTTCCAATTTGAAATAATTGTAACTAATGTAAAAAAAATGAATAACAGTAGACACCTAAAGTTAAATATGAATTATATTTCATTTTTAAATTATTAATCGACTAATTTGTGGTTTGCAGTTAGGAAGTGATCCAGATGCTATGTTAAAATTATCCAAAAAGGGCAAAACTTTAATGACCTTTGTGAAAGTATCACCTAAGTACAATAAAGATGATGTTGATAAAATAACCAAAATCTGGCAATCAAGTCTTTGGAACAACCACATTCAAGCAGAAAGGTTAGAAAAGTTGAATTTGTTAAATTATTTTTAATATGACGTATAATGTATATTGTATATCAATATTTCAAGTACATAAAATATAAATCAGCAATACACTCATCTGCTTCTAATCAATGTACATAAATCTTTTTTATGTGATTATTAATTTAATAATTTTAATTAAACTGATGTTGATATTGGTTGCATAATTATTGTGTTTTCCCATATCCACACTTGTCTTGTAGGTTATACACTAACCATACTTAGACGAAGACCATTCACTGAATTATTTTCATGTATTAGTGTTTGTAATGCTACCGATTTATAGTTACAGTGGAACCTCAATAATTTTAACCTTTATAAGTTGACTTTTCAATAACTCAAACGAATGCTTTGGCCTTACAATATATGATATCGAGGTTTTCCATAAGTCGAATTTTTAATAACTCAATTTTTTTTCACCCTCAATCGATTCGAGTTATCAACATTTTACTGTATATCATTATAATGTGAGTAAATATTAAAATTAATAGAGCTTAGATTTGAAGTAAAAAATTCCATACCATATTCTTAAAAATATACATTTAATATGTAGCTCTAAAAATGGCTAAATATTTGTTAAAAATAATGATTTTATTATTAAATTAGTTAAATCACGTGTAACAAAACTATTTATTTACTTATTTATTACTATGTAGGTGACTTTAAATTTATCTTTTTTTCTTCTCCCTATTCTATAACTGGCTAACTTTATTAGTCTATCTTTTCTTTTAAATATTACTTAAAATTACAAAATAGTGAAATATATCATTAGAACACTAAATTTAGCTATAATATTTTAAAATATGCTCTAAAAACATTGACATTTTGAAATATGATATAGATCAGCGTTTCTTAAACTGTGTTCCACGAAACCCTGGGGTTCCGCGTAGATTATTTCAGGGTTCCACAAAGCTTGAATTATTTTTTTTTAATGTTCAAGAAAATTACTTATAAATTAAATAATAATGTATAAGTCATATGGAATAATCTATCAGCTAACTCAATATTTAATAATCTATACTTCTACTTAATATTATAATTGATTTGCAAATAATCTTAAAAAAGGTAAAAAGGTAAAAAAAGTAGGGGTTCTACGATAAAAGTGGACATCAAAAAGGGTTCCACGAATAAAAAAGTTTAAGAAACTCTGATATAGATAATTTATTCTTTTAAACACTTTCATGCAATATATTTTGTGTTTACTTAACAAAGTACAATTACTTGTAAAAATATGCAAATTCTTATAAAACCTAGTTAAACTTATGACCAATTTGCACTGTACAAATATTTCAATCGATCATTTAGAAATTTAAATTATATCTATTAGAACCATGGTTTTTATTTAATGGTTTAAAATATCATTTAATATAAAAAAATAAATTTTAAACGTGTTAACTTTTATTTTATTAGTTATAATATTTAAGGTTACTTAAAAGTTATGATTTTATATTTATGTTTAAAAAATACCATTTGCACATTTGCTTTATGTAAGAATTTAAATATTCTTTATTGATATGTAAATAAAATCAAGAAAACTACCTAGACGGCTTGATAATAATAGAAGCCAGCATTGTACATCTTATCTTAAATGTTATCAGTAAATGAACTCAGAGTTTTATATTGGAATGAACAATCAGTTAGTAGGCAAGTGTTACTTGTGAAAAACTCATCATTTGTAATGCATTGAGTATAAGCGTATAGTATATGATTAAATATTTTTTATTACTGTGAGATCAATTAATCTAATATAAACGTGTAAAATCAATCTTAGATATTGACTTGATTTATGTTATAGATTTATGGTTGATGATAATCGAGCCATATTCATGTATAAAGATGGTTCACAAGCTTGGGATGCAAAGGATTTCCTGATACAGCAAGAAGACTGTGTTGATGTAACAATTGAAAATCAAGTATACAAAGGTCCAGCTTCTCCATTTGTAAGTATTAAGTATTTTTAAAATTTAATATTCTTTGAATAACATTTTTACTTTCTTCAGTAATCTATTTTAAATATTATTTTGGCGGATAGTTTCAAATAAACCAAGTACTATTTTATAAGTTCTACCCTAGCAGTTGATGAATTTCAATTTAAAATTATTTGTTTAAATGTTTTACAAAAGTAGAAGTACAATAACAGACATCACATTATACAAAATATTTTTATCCTCAGAATATCATGTGTTTTTATTTATGTATAAAAAAAACTATTCTAATTGTATATTGTTGAGACTTTTTATTCAAATCAGCTTGATAGAAACTTATAAATATTATTAATTAAATAAAGATGATAAATATTTTTTTCTGTATTAATAATATACACAATCGACACAACAACTAACACACAATAAATTAATTGACAAAAGAAAAATTGAAAACTTGAATGAAGAAGCCACCCACCGATGACACTTTTGTCTTTTAATTATTTTATTTTATAAATAATTTAGTCAGTAAAAATATTTTTTACCCTGGGAGATACAAGCTGGTGAGATAAGTGTCTCACTGAAATTTTGTTTTACCTTATTGTTAAATAAATCAATAATTTTAATTTCAAATTTTATTTTGGATTAAACTAGTAGTTATATAACACATTAGGTAGAGAAGACAGGAGTACATTATAATATTATCTAATACAAATTGTTGGTGTTTCTCTTGTCCCTTTATTTTCATTATAATTATTAGTATTAATTAATGTTATTAGATACAAAAAATTATTTTAATGATAACTAATTTTTTTTTCAGGTTGAAGGAAACGTTGAAAAAGTGGAATTATAATTGTTATTTTCTATTAGCTTAGTTAATTTATTCATAAACGGTTATTCTAAAAATGACAAACTTTTTTTATATTTATATTATTGGCTTTTTAGACATAGCTAGTCTTGCCACAATTATGCCTTCATTTAATCGTCGTCTCTTAAAATTTGGTGCTACTCATTTACAAATAACCCTTCTAGAATCTCTTTTCTCAAGTTTTCAACTAATCACAGGACCCATTGTTGGAACACTGAGTGATCATTTTGGTCGCAAACCATTGCTTTTGCTTTCAATGATCTTTAGTGTCTTTGCATTTTTTGCCATGGGACACTGTAATTCTTATMTGTCGATTGCTGCCATTCGATTGATGTTGGGTTGTTTCAAACACACCCAAATGTTAGGAAAGTCATTAATTGGTGACAATGTACCTAAAACTCAACATTTGAGCACCCATGGAAAATTGAACAGCTTCATTTCATTAGCATTTATGATAGCTCCAATTTATGGTGGTTATTTGTCTGAACACAAAAATGGTTTTTACTATTTAGCTTGCTCGACTAGCTTAATTTGTGCCATAAATGTCATTATTATTGCATTGTGTGTGCCAACCAAGATAATTAAGACAAATGGTCTTAAAAAAAATATGTTTTACCATTTAAAAGAAGTAAATTGGACAGAACATTGGCCATTATTGTTCATGAGAATGATGTATACTGCAACACTATCAACAAATATGGTATCATTTGGTTTTGTACTCATAGAAACATATAAGCTTACACCATCCCAAGTTGGTTACACCTTATCAGTCAATAGTTCAATTGGTGTTGCTACTGGATTCGCAGTTGCCAGATTAGAGCCATTCTTTCGTAAATATAGTTCATTCAAAAAATGTTTCTTTAGTTTTATTTTACTATTTGTTGGATATATTTGTTTGTCATTTGCTCCTAATATAACATTTCACATTATATGCATGGTTCCTATCATTGCAGCTGGTACTCTAATAGAAGTGTTTTTAAATCAAATTCTATCGGAAACCTGTATGGGTGAAAATAGAGGAACTCTAGAAGGTGCTATGACTAGCTCTATCTCAGTAGCTCGATCTATTACGCCTGTAGTAGCCGGAGTGGCTATGGATATGTATGGTTCTAGTGGAGCATATGTTTTTGCAGCTTTAGCTGCTATTTCTGCAGCAATGTTAGCTAAATTTTATGATAAAAAAACCAAATTATCGTAATATTTTTTCCTTTTTAAGTGTTCATGATTTTACATAGATCTTATATTTTGTATCAATCTCTATTTTACTTATTAAATATAAAAGAGTTTATTGTTAATTGTAACAAATCTATTTTTCTCTGAGTTTTGAGAAAAAATGAACAAATATTTTGAATGTATATTATGAAACCTTTTATTATTTTTTTTATCTAATGTATGTCTATGCTATTAATTTAAGTTAATAATTTTAAAGTAATAGCTATATTAAATTTGGCATATATTCAGATTATATTAATAGATTATAGATGTGATTAATTTAGTTTAATAGGTGATTAAAATATTATTTATTTATATTTGATATTATTGAACCTGGTTTGAGCGTTTTATATGTTATGTCAATTGAGGTAATCCACAATGAATGTATTTAAGAACTGACTATAAACAGATAATATCATTGCTTTTATAGTATTATTATATATTGTAATATAAAAGCAAAATCAGTAACATAAGCTGGCCAATCATTTTTATGTTAATTTAAAATATTACACTTTAGATTTTTACTTATCTTTTTTGTACATTAAGTATCATAAAATAATTATACCTATTTCTATGTGCACATGAATGATCACAATTCTATTCTTTTAATATATGTTTTATATTGTTTGTTTCTTATTTATAATTAATGATTATGGCTCATTACAAAATAGGGACCAAATATGTATTAATAAATATATTAAATGTGTGATAAAAATGTAATTCTGTGGAATCAAAAATTCAATTGAAAGTATTTGAAACAAATAAAATATGAATTATAGAAACATTATTACATAATATTATAATATATGTGGGCATGTGGCCGACGTAACAAAAATAATTTTGATGACTTGTACCTATTAAAGTTTTAATCTGGACAGTGGACATTTTAGTCTTTTGTCGAGAAATGTTTCAATAACGGCAATGATCCGTTATTTTTTATTATTATATATCAAGACTTAAAGGAAACCCTATCAAATATTTCAAAAATAGTGCATAGAGCAAAATGGTCTCGTTCCCCACCCCTCCTAAATATATACAGGCCGGTGTCCCGCGAGGATTCACCCATTGCAATATCTTCTGAAATAATAAATATAATAAATAATAATATATCTTAAATCTGTTTTTTCATTAGACTCCCATAGACAAGGGCTACCTGTAATTTATTTTTTTGATAAAAAAGTTACATAATAATTTTAATTTTATCTATTTTATTGGGTTTATTTTGCTGAACATTTTGATCTTTCAACATTTTATTTTCATTAATCAGATGATTTTTAATATTTTTTTTAGTGTATAGATAAAACAGCAAAAAACTGGTTTTTATCCGGGCAGCGAGCCCCCCTCTATTACGGCTAATGGGTATATATTCACGAGACACTATATTATTGTTATGTAGCTATATGTCTATATTTATGTTCGTAGTTATTATGTAAAAAGATATTTGGATCTATTTTTTTTTTTATCATTACAATGCAAAATAGTATGTTAAAATAGTATAATATAATACAATACTAAAATAGTATGTTGGTATCCAATTGATAAAATAGATTTATAGATACATTGTGTAACTATAAAAATAATTTAATTTCAGTTTCATAAACATGTCCTAATACCTGCAATATACCTGGGTGTATTTTACATATTTATCTATATACATTTATTTAACTTACACATTTTTACTAAGCTAACTAAATTATTGGTATTTTTCAACGATAGGTACTCAACATGGTGCTTTTGGTATTTTTTAAAAATATTTGTATCTTCATTCAATTCGATTAAGGTATAATATTATGCATTCAAATTAATTAACATGCTTATGGTAGTACCTACCTATGTACATTGTCTTAAATTTAGAGAATAGCCTAAATATAGCTATATTATTAGCTAAACAATAAGAGGTGTAATAGGTACCAAACTACCAATTCATAATGTTTTACCTTCCGTAATACCTATTCTTATATTATAATTTATAAGGGTACCTACCTATAAGTCTTAGGTATATCTATATACTATACATTTTAGGAGTGGCGCCGAACACTATGTTAAGGTCGGGCCATGTTCCGACATATTTTGAAAATTTAAGATAGGGCCGCTTCATATTGATCATTTTCTTCAGCACGGTATGCCATGTTTTCCGATGTTGGGCTTCTTGAAATATTTTTCGCACTACTAGATTTTTAGGACTTCGACGCCACTGCGTTTTAGACTTTAGTATACCTACATTACCTACTAAAACTATATGTACAATTACAACAATTCAACTAAATATATAACTGGTGAACTGTTAAAGATACATATAGGTCATAGGTGCATAGATGCTATTCAATATTGAAATGAAACGCGGTATGTATTTAAATGGATATAGACAGTTTACTCAATGGAACTCAATGTGACAATGTAAAATATTATATTATTATATAATTACAAGATCTTTGCAAAGGGGAAAGATAGATCTTATGTGGTATGATTTAAGACAACAACTAAAGTTGTTTTGGAACGTAAACGGAGTTGTCCAGCGCCAGCGTATACCTATACTATCGTCACGAAGATAATAAACAGAAATTATTATAACCTATAAGAATTATTAAATACATAAATTATTATTTTAGATTCTGAACGAAGTGATGAATGTATTGATTTAACAATGATGTGTTGTTTTTTTTTGTTTTTGTGTCTGTGTACAGCATAACTAGGTAGTCGAAATAATGCTTCAATTTCAAACTTTGGGGGTGCTTTCCGATGTAAAAGTGAATATCCTTGGTGCATTATAGAGGTCAAAAGTAAACATTTTCCAACAGTTTTCAAAAAAATCGAGAAAAACAAAAAAAAAATGACACAAAAACGGGAATTTTTACGCAAAACCAGTTTTCGACCAAATCGATTTTTTTATATGGTTGTAATTCAA